TTTTGTATTCCCAGCACTTCGCATAGTGCCTATGCACATTGTAGATGCTTAATGTTAATTGATTGAGTGATACAAGATAGTTCAACAATAGGAAAATAAACATAGACATATTAAAAACACACAAAATCACATAATTATATCAACAGATAAAGAAAAAGTCCTTGACAAAGTACCACACTCACTTATGCTAAAACCCCCTACAAAGTATAGGCAGAGAAAAGCATTTTTTGTTTGTTTTATTTTTGTAAATTTTTAAATTTTAAACTTGAATATAAAATAGGAAAAGAAAAAAGAAACAAACTTAAATGCAAAATGAGAAAAGAAAAAAAATAGCCATGTGCACAGCAGTACTATTCAAAATATAAAGCAATACATTTCCATTTCAAGAAATTCTATATAATAAATACTACAAATTGTGTTCAGAGCTGTCCATCTTTTCTTTACTTCCTTGTAGGTTTTATTTTGTTCTCTGCTCTGAACTTTTTACTTTGTTCCTTTTTTTCCCCTTTCCTCCCCCCTTCCCCTAAGAAGGCTACAATTAAGCGTGGAGATATATATGTGTATATATAAATACATATGTATATACATATACACATATACACACACAGACATATACTTACACGTACATAGATATCTATAATCATACACATATATACACATATACATTCATATGCATCTATGTAAGACCGTACTATACTTGTTTGTGTTCTGTATCTCTGAAGCCACCGTGGATAAGAGCTTCTTTCATAAGTCCAACTCTTTCTACATTTTTCTAAATCTACCAACTCATCATTTCCTATACCACAACAATATTCCAACCTTATACTGTCTAGTTATTTTAAATAGTCTAAGACAATATTGATTAATATGGCTGACATATAATGTAGTTTCTCTATTTTTCTCTTTTAATTAAATCTATTTTAGCTTTAACTTTGTGTGAGATCATGATTACTACCCTTGCTTTTTTTCCCTAATAAATTCTACTCCTGATCTTTATTTTGTGTTTGTATGTATCTCTTATTTCCTATTCCTCCTGACTCGTCTACTTTACTTCTACCTTCTACCTTGCCTTTCTATTTTAAAAATTTTTTTATTTTTTATTTTTAGGCAATGGGGTTAAGTGACTTGCCCAGAGTCACACAGCTAGTAAGTGTTATGTGTCTGAGGCCGGATTTGAACTCAGGTCCTCCTGACTCCAGGGCCAGTGCTATACCCACTGCGCCATCTAGTTGTCCCCTGCCCGCCTATTACTTAACCTATCCCCCCACCAAGGATCCTTCCCTTATCTTCCCCTTTCCATTAAACACTCTTCTATAGTCCCCCCTATCTTATTCCCTTACTTTCCTCTCTAAAAATCCCTCTCTTATCCTCTCCCCTCTCCCTTTTATTTCTTTCTGAATTTAGAACTTTTATGCCCTTCTAGACATATACGTATTGTTCCCTTTTTAACCCATTCTACCAGCCCTCCTCCCCTATCTAATTCTTCTGTGTCAGTTCTTCCTCTCACACCTCATTTGTATAATTACTCTTTTAATCTTTTCCTAAACAGTTTTACTTTTTAGAATCATATCATACTCAGGTCTACCCCAATCTTTCGTTTGAACTACTTAATTACTGATAACAATCTTACACATATGTTTTACATTTCCTCATATAAAAAGTAAACAGTCTATCTTTATTGAATCCTATGTAATTAGAAAGCCTTTTTTTTTTTTTTTAAAGTATGTGTCTTGAGGATCTGGCATATGTGCAGACTTCATCAGATTACTTGGTTGATTCAGCCTCTCGATATGGAAGATGCTGGGAGAAGTCTATTGATTGGCTGAATAGCTAAAACTGTTAGAGTCATCAAAAAAGCTCAAGTTAGTTTATATCTTTTCTCTGCTTCATTCACTCCATGAATGAATGAGCTCTGTGACTCTCTCATGGCATTTGCTGAGAGACTGTGGTAAGGGGAAAGTCCTTAGGGCCTTCTTCCCCTCTGAGGTCATATGACTCCAAGAAATGGGTCTCCATTCCTGCCTTCTTCATTTGTTCTAGGTGTAAGGGATGAGCACCTCACAACCTAGGGAATTTGAGAGGTTATTATGAGTATACTCTGGCATCCTGGTGCTTCAGGCTAAGTGCTACAAGTCAGCCTACAAGTGACCACCTGAGGAACAAAGAATGACCTTCTGGATCCAGTAGCAATAACAATTTTGGAAATGAGCTGTGTCGGACTTGAGCTATATTATGAAAATACTTTCCCCAGAGACCATAGTAGTAGAAGGGAGAATATGCCCTGGAGGTATTGGGGGAAATCACAGTACATTTATTTATGCTATATCTCTAAAGTAAATAGCACTTTGTAAAAACTATCTATTGTTAAGTAATTAAATGGAACCATGGTGCTAGAAACTGGCCCCTGAACGATGGGAGAAACAGAGCAGCTAGGGGCTTAAGCTAATGGCAGTAGGGAAAAAACCTTCAGGATTATCTGTTGGAATCCAGAGGGGCAAGGTAACAAGCTTGGCTCTGAGAAAGAGGACAAAGCATAAACATGTTATATAGGATTAAAAAGCATAAATCTAAGCCAAAAGTGAACAATCTATACACTGGAAGCTTTCCCAATAAATACAGGAATAAAGCAAGGATACTCACTGTCACTATTGTTATTTGGAAAGCCATAGTTCTACTCATACCACCAATAGCAATAAGAAAGGAGAAAGAAACTAATTGCATAAAGATATACAAAGAGGAAGCAAAACCATCCCTATTTGTCGATGACAAGATTTACTTAGAAAATCCTAGAGAATTAGCAAAGAAACTGAGGCAAAGAATAGGTTTAGCAAAGTAGCAGGATATAAATAATCCCTTCCCCCAACTTACAGGATTTCTACATAGTAATTTTTTAAATGCAAGTGGAAATAATTGAAGAGGGAGTCACATTAAAAAACAACTACAAAATGGACAAAATATCTGGGAGTCACTCTACCAAGGCACATGCAAAACTTGCATAGACACAAATACAAACCATTCCTTAAAGAAATAAAAAAACAACTTAAGTAATAGTGCTCATGGCTGGGCTACACTAATTTAATAAAAATGACAATACTTCCTAAGCTAATTTACATATACCAATCAAATTACAAAGACGATGCTTTATAGAACTAGGCAAAATAAAAATGAAATTCATTTGGAGGGATAAAATACCTCAAACATTAAGGGGAATCATCAAAAAGTAAGAAAATTATTTAACAATGGGAGTATTCAATCAAAAAAGTTTGGAAACTTTTGCCCCGGAGGGATAAGTCTCTTTCCTCTGATCCTTTCCCAATAAGGTAAACCTTTTCCTGATGTGGGAAACAGACAGGCGAAAGAACTGCCCTTTTGGTGTGTCTTTCTTTTATTGCCTCACTGTAGACATCTTCTCCCCAAAGGTACACCTTCTATTTCTGCTCTGGTTGCTGTAGACATACATTCAATAACCTGGTTGAGGGTCCTCTCACAGATAAACTCCGCCATGTGTAAAGAGGTTTGAACCCTTCAAAGTATTTTCACTTTGATTAGGTCATTTGATTGTCACAATGAACAGTGATGAAAATTGGGCAGGTCTTATCATTCTCCTTTTACAAATGGGGAACTGAAGCTCTGAAGGGGGTATTGACTCGTCCAAGGTCACCTAGAGTATTTGTGACAAAACTTGAACTGGGATGCAGGCCTCTTGTCTCCTAATCTCATATTCTCTCCATGAGACCATACTGTGATATGAGAGCAACTCTTCTACCCTTCAACCTAAGTTTCAACAGAAAGGAAGGGAGTGAGGGATCGAAGGAGAGTCTAATGAGGCTGGTTAAGAAGAGATTAATTCAATACAATTCACCTCACTTCAATACTGTGTGCAAGACATTGTGCCAGTCCCAGGTAATACAAACCCAAACTGGCCCCTGCCCTCAGGAAACTTATATTCCACTGGAGGGTGATGCAACGTGTATACAAGTAAACACAATAAATTACAAAGTAGCTTGTGTGGCTGCTTTTTCATCTGTAAAATGAGAAGGTTGAACCAGAGAATTTCTGAGGTCCCTTCCAGTTCTAAGTGGGTAATCCTATGATCCAAGGATGACTGTGCTTTGATAGAAGTTAATGTTTCCGCTCTTAGACACTTAGTAGCTATGTGACCTTGGCCAAGTCGATTAACCCTGTTTGTCTCAGTTTCCTCATCTGTAAAAATGAACTAGAGAAGGAAATGGCAAACTACTCTGATACCCTTGCCAAGAAAACCCCAGATGGGGTCATGGAGAGTCGGGCATAACTGAAATGACTCAACAACAACAATAAGGCTACTCCTGGGTGAAGGTTGGGAGGTAGCATGTTCCAGAGTCCTACCGTCTCCCCACACCCAGTGCCAAACCCTAGAACTGTCGTCCAATCTATTCCCTCCCCCAACCAAGAAGTTGTTCCTCAAGAGCACAGCTGATTAGTTAGGCAGTGGAAGGAGGGACGGAATGAACAAAAAACAAACATCCAGCATTTCCCACCCTCTTCATACACAGAGACAACTGCAGCACCATAGAATACCACAGCTTGAAGCAAGGTCATCTTGTCCAACATCTTCATTTTATAGAGGAAGAAACTGAGACACTGAGAAGGGAAGTGATTTTTTCAAGGTCAGATGTGAGTGAACAACAAACGCTGTACTACAACCATGGTTTAAGTCTATAATCTTTCCAAAAATACTACCTTGCTCCTTCTCTTTAGGGAGATTAAGTTATTTACATTAAATTCTAGGTCCCTCCCAAGAATATTTTGCAAAGCTCCCTCTTCCATTCTACTTCTATCTACCAATGCCAGAATCATTTTGTGAAGGGATCTTTCCTTGTGTGGGTCTCTGTGCCCTACCTGAGCTATTGTCGTGATAGGTTATGGGGTCATCTAATCTGTTCCTAAGCTGTGAAATAAGACAGTGTTTGGTTTATCCCAGCTGCCTTTAGGACTGTAACTGAACTTCTCTTCCTTACCTCTTTTATCTGCCCACAATGTTGCAATACTTTCTTCCTTTGAACACCTGAAGAGGAGATAAAGCGAGGGTCAACTCTAGGGACCTCCCAGCCCAGGGCAGTGATGATGACAGTGGTGACCTAGCAGAGGGACTTCCTCAATGGGCCCTCTTCATGGTGACGGATGGGAGCAGCTGTGGCATGAACCCCCATTGCTCAGCTGTGTAGCCTCTGATTCAAGGGACCATGGTGCCCCATCCCAATCTTATGCTCCAGCCTACTTCTCTGGAGATAATTCAGGCTTCTGGGTCTCTTCTTTTATAAGATCTCAATCCATCAGCTTTTTTTAATTGTGATTTTAACCAACACCAAATAAAGCGAGCATTTCTATATACATGGTATCTCAGAAGAGAATTGTACATGAAACTGTGACTAATACACAGAGCTTGCTTTTCTTTTTAAGCATATATAAATGCAATATATCACTTTCAAAGAGATCAGCTTTCTTCATACCAGTGGCATCTCTGCCAAAATCCTGGAATTCCAACTGAATCCTCCCCTAGGGCCGTCATCTTAGGTATACCTAGTCCCCTTAGAGAACCAACATTTCTCATTCTAATCATAACTCAAAGTCCTTAAAGTTTTGTACAGCCTTGGCTTCTCAAGGTTACACTGGAAATGGCCAGCCCTGGGCCAGCAGCCAATTAAATGGCTCTCACTGGTCACCAACAGCACCCCGCCCTTCCACAATGGCATAATATAGTAAATAATGGCAGCTTATGTTCACAAGATCCATTAGGGAGCCTTTCTCACATTTCTGATCTTTTGCTCCTGGCATTATAATGGAGCCCTCTCTCCTATGATCCCCAGACCACATGAAAGAAAAAATCCCAATACTAACAATGAAAGCTTATTCAATTATTTTGCCCTAGATCCCCAAATGAGGACACTCACCTTGGAAAATTTCGGATAAAATTCATGGAAGGCCCTGAGGCTGTGGCAAGTAGGACATCTTCGGCAAAGGGAAAGGAAGCGGAAGACAGAAGATGAAAGAGGGGGACCTGAAGCCAATGTGCCAATAAATGAGGTCCAGTGCAGCCTTAGCAGGTAAACATGGGGGTTGGAGCCCTGCCAGCCATGATTAAATGTGAACTTTTGATGGCTTCCTCAGAACCCGGAAACAGCTTCAAAGACACACAAGGGGCCCCTTCAACTTATTAATTTTGCAACCCAGTACCAACTGTCCCCTCTCTCCACCACACTTTTTCTAGCAAGAAATGCAAACCCTATAGGTGAGCTGGCTTCAATAGGTCTTTCTCGCCCTGATATAGTGGGTACTCACTCTCAGAAGGTACACCACCAAGGTGGTCAAATGGTGAGTTGGAGCTGAGAGTAAACAGGGTCTCTCTGAACTGGGCCTCCAACCAGTCAAACTACCAAGTGCCCTCCAATAGCTCTGAGCTCTGACTGCCCACACTCTCACCTTTTTCTAAGCCCAGCCCGTGTTGGCTGGCTTAGGGACATGCTGACTTAGCCAAACGAAAGTAAAACTGCTGGAAATCCCCTCGTTTATTAGCAGAAGGCATGAGAGAGAGGCTTCCAGGTGAAGAATCAGTATTTTGGTCTGGTCAGGAATCTTTAATGAGATCTCAAATATCGAGGGGCTGATGTGGCCTTAAGCCAGAAGGCTAGCCCCTAAGTGAAGCAGGGGAATCCTAAAGAATCCTGAAGGTAAGATTAGTGACCTCAAAGCCCAGAACTATGGAGAAACATTCTGGGAATTTAATTCCCAGGGTGGGGAGAAAGTGTCAGCCAGTCATTTTGAAACACATAACCTGCTTCTCATCCCACAGAGACTGTTGATCAGATGAATGGGCCTTAAAACTTTCCAAATTCTCACTTCCTACAACAACTAAAACGAGACAATTTCCATCCTTGCTCCTGAGAGTCGGGGGAGCTCAGGAGGTGTAGATGTAAGTCAGATTAACAGAGAAGGGATCTAATAAATTTTAGTCCCAGATCTTCCACTCTCTATCTAGCTGGGTGACTTTGGATGAATGAGCTCCTCTTCTCTGGAAGTCTTAGTTTCTCTATCAGTTAAATAAGGGGAAATGAGCACTTGTATCCAACCTTTGGGGAATGACCAAACATACAAAACTAATAGAATGCCATTTTTACCATAAGAAAAAAAACCTGAAGAATGTAAAGAAATATAGTTAGTTATACATAATAGAGAAAGCAGAATCTAGACAACAATATTGAAACTGACTACAGCAATATGAAAAAATAACAATAGCAACAGAATCCTAAAAAAATACACAGAAATAAAAGAGATCAGAAAGGGACGTGAATGCAAACAGAATATTTTTGCAATTATTTTGTAATCACTTAAAACTATATTTGAATGTTTTTGTTGACACTGTATATACTTTCAAGAAAAAATTTTTTAAATAAGGAAGATTGTATTAGATTGGCTCTTTGGTTCCTTCTGGCTCTGACATTTTAAGATTGTGTATTTACTAGCATTGACTTTTCAATAGAGCCAATAATGCGTTCTCTTCTGACTTAAAAGAACCATGAGTATCAGAAGATGTGGATTATTTTCCTAGCTCTGCCATGATCTGCTATATCACCTTGAGCAGATCACCTTTTTGAGCCTCAGTCTGGTCATTTGTTAGAGATAATAATTCTCATTCTACTACTCCCACAAGGGTGTTATAGAAATAAAAGAAGCTGAGATTTGTGTGTGACCTTGAAAAAATTAAAAGTGCTAAATGAGTCCTAAGTAATCATGATCATTTTAGTTATTTTGGCAAAAGAGATCATGGAATCATAGATTTAGAGCTAAAAAGGATTTCAGTGATCTTCTCCAGGGGTTCTTAAACCTTTTTTTGCATGTCTTTTGGTGAGTCTAGTAAAGCCTATGGATTCCTTTCAGAACAAAATTTTTACATGGATAAAACAGAATTATAAAGGAAACCAATTATGATAAAATATAGTTATGTATATATGCATATGTGTATGTATGTACATATATATGTATGTATTTGAGACTGGGTTTCCCTATCTTGCTCAGGCTGGAAGAGAAGCAGCCATCTTCTACCCAATCCCACTGCTAATCAGCAAGGAAATTTTGACCCACTCTCTTTTTTTGACCCACTTGGGCCAGTAGATCCCTCCTTAGGCAGACTGGTGGGTGCCACTCTCCCAGGGCTCACCATATTGGTGCTGACTTAGTGAGGAAACCTGATTGACTTTAGCTCCACTGTAGCTCAGAACTCAAGAACTGAAGTGCCACCACGCCCAGCCAAAATATTTTTTTTATTTTTTCATTTTAAAAAAAAATCCATTTTTTTCAGTTGCAGATTCTCTTCCTCCCCTAACCCCTCTCCCATAGACTGAGAAGGCAAAAAAGACAAAACCTACTACAAATATGAAATCGTGCAAAACAGACTTCTGAATTAGCCATGTTCTGGGGCAGGGGTAGGGAGGAAGAAACAAGAATAAGAAAGGAAGAGAAAAAAGTGTGCTTCAATCTATACTCTGAATTTATCAGTTGTCTATCTGGAAGTGGACAACTTTTTTCATTATGAGTCCTTTGGAACTATGGTGTTGATTATTGTGTTGATTAGAGTTTCTAAGTCTTTCATAGTTGATTATTTTTACCATATTGCTGTTATTGTGTAACAATAATTTTCCTGGTTCTGCTTACTTCACCTTACATCAGTTCACATATGTCTTCTCAGGTCTTTCAGAAACCATCCCCTTCATCATTTCTTATGGCACAATAGTATCTCATCATATTCATATACAATAACTTATTCAGCCATTCTTCAATTGATGTAGAAACCCTCAGTTTCCAATTCTTTGCAACAACAAAAAGAGCTGCTATAAATATTTTTTATGTACAGGTCCCTTCCTTTTTCTTTGATTTCTTTGAGATACAGAAACAGTATTTCTGAATCAAAGGATATGCACAGCTTCATTAGTATTTAGGCATAGTTCCAAATTGTCTTCCAGAATGGTGTTATTAGTTCACAGCTCTACCACAATGCATTAGTGTACCTATATTCCTATAGCCCCAAAATATTTTTTAAAACAAGTTCACATAATCCAGGTTAAGAGCCCCTAATTCTAGTCCAACTTCCTCATTCTAATGCTGAGGAAATGGAGGCAGAAAGCGTTTAAATGATTTGCCTAAGAACACACAGGTTGAAAGTGTCAAAATCACATCCTCTGACTTCAAACTCAGTGTTTTCTCCATCACACCGCTCTAGCTTCCTATGATGAGGAGACAGGAACAGAATCCTGCATATTTCATGGCCATCATCTTGGGCCCTAGGGATCCTCCCTGCTGTTTTGACACCAAATCAGAAAGTGTCATGTCCAAATACTTCTCAAAACATTAGGAAATTTCTATCATTGCAATATGGAGAAAGTTCACTTAAATGGGTACAAGACTCAGAAAATAAAATTGAGTAAATTCATGAACAGGGAAAAAAAAACAAACCACAGTCTAGACAGATTTACAAGTGAATCTGATCAAATGAATTAGATCAAAAGAGTGACTATTACAAATGCTACACAAATTATTCTTTTTTTTTAATTTTTTTTTTTTTTTAGGCAATTGGGGTTAAGTGACTTGCCCAGGGTCACACAGCTAGTAAGTGTCAAGTGTTTGGTCTGAGGCCGGATTTGAACTCAGGTCCTCCTGACTTCAGGGCTGGTGCTTTATCCACTGCGCCACCTACCTGCCCTTCCACTGTGCCCCCTAGCTGCCCCTTACACAAATTATTCCTAAAAATTGAGAAAGAAAACACGCCACCAAACTAGTTTTATGAGATAAATATAGTCTAATGACAAAACCAAAGTAAAAACAAAGAGAGCCATAGACTAATATTAAGGCAAAAAATTAAATAAAATCCTAACAATAAATTTATTAACAACAAAAATGATGTTCCGTGAGCAAGTTGAATTTACATCAGGGATGCCAGGATAGTTTAGCCTTAGGAAAACAATTCCTGTAATTAATTATGTGAAAAACAAAAAGGCTGAAACCACATGATTATATCAAAAAATGTAGAAAATGCCTTTGACAAAACACAAAACTCATTTGTGATAAAAAAAAAAAGGACCCACTACACACTACAGGCATAGCAAGGCTATTTTTTTTTGCATATTAAATAAGTCCATTTCTAAACTCTAAAGCTAGCATTATTTGTAATGGGAAAACACTAGAAGCTTTCTCCTACTCTGCCTTATTATTAAAAATAGTTCTGGAAATGCTAGTATAGCAATAAAATGAGAAAAAAGAAATTAAAGGCATAAACACTGGAAAGAAGGAGATGAAATATCTCTATTTGCTTACAAATCAACATTATTTGCTACTGGTTTAAAAACTGTAGAAAAGCAGATCAGCGTAACAGACTAACTCCAAGGTTAGAAATCTTTAAAGAATCAGATAAAAAACTAATTGTGACAAGTAATAGCTTTAGTAAAGTAGCAAGATATAAAATAGATCCAGAAAACCATCAGCAATTCTACATGGCAATAAAACAGGGGCTCTTAATGTAGGGGCTCGTGAACTTAAAAACTTTTATTTGATAACTGTATTTTGATATGATTAGTTTACCTGGCAATATTATGTATTTTATTTGTGCATTTAAGGACATTTTGAGAAGGGGTTCATAGGCTTCATCGGACTGCCAAAGGGATCCATGACACAAGAAAAGGTTAAAAACCTCTGCCATGAAAATAACTACAAAATGTATAAAATACCATGGAGTCTGTCTATCAAGATAGTTATCATAATTATAATAATAACTAGCATTTATACAGCAGTTTACAAATATTGTCTCTTTTTTAATTATTTCCTATTATTAACAACCTTATTATCTATTATTATTTCCATTTGATAGATGAGGAAAGTGAGGCTGAAAGAGGTTAAGCAACTTGCCCAGGGCCACATAGCTCATAAGTGGTGTGAGGTCACATTTGAACTCAGATCTTCCTGATGCCAAGTCCAATTTAATGGCATGAATGTAGCTATAATAACTCTAAAATAAAATGAGATGTTGGAATGTCTAAATCTATAGTACATAATATTATTAAACATTCAGGCAAAGCAACAGAAAAAGGCAAA